TTATAAAAGAGAATATAAACAGTTTTATGGATGTCCCTTCACAGTATTAACAACTACAAACATCGAACCATATATAATAAACATAAGAAGTCCGGTGTACAAAGGCCTGGAACCAAAGTACATAGAATTAATTGCAGAGAAAATGAATTTTACTCTTGTGTATGTAAATCACAACTACACAAGTTGGGGAGAGTTTTTAAACGGAGAAATCACATGTTGCATGTTTGCTGGTCTTCAACGACGAGAAGCTGACATGATGTTCGGAATGGTTGTTTCAATGGAAGGCATGAATCGATACTTTGACACTTCTATTTCATTGCTGCTCATGGATTTGCGATTCTGTATCCCCAAAGCTCAAAGACAGTTGCCATGGCTTGACATCACAAGAGTGTTTGATCAATATACGTGGAAGCTATACGTTGGATCTTTAATAATCTTCGCTTTGATATATTTTATTATTGGCGAATATTGCTGCAGCGGAAATGGAGCTGTTGTAGAAAAAGTTTCGAAGAGCTATTTGAATGTGATATCGATTGCTGTGGCTCGCAGTGTTAAACTTCCTAGGAATTTAATTCAACGAATTTTAATATTATCATGGATTATCCCCGCTTTTCTATTATCTAGTTTGTATGAAGCTACGTTTTTATCGTTTCTTTTACATCCGACATTTCAAAAACAAATCAAAACAAATGAAGATATCGTTAGCAGTGGATATTCCGTGTATGGTACTCGTCAGTCTAAGTATTTGTTTTCGTTTACGAATGACCAGGCAAGTAAAATCATTACTGCACGATGGCAGTCTATTGAACTGAGTGAACTTTTGGATCGTACTGAAGATGTAATAAAACGTCGGAATATGGTCACTGCAGCTAGTAATTTACGGATGCGTTACGCGATGAGTCTGGGACGTCGATTTGTGGATGAGAATCATCAAAGCAAGTTGTACATTTCCTCGTCTATTGTTAGTTTGTACTTAATAACGTTAATGCAACGTGGATTGCCAATCAAAATTCGTTATAATCGAATGGTAAAGGCAATTGGTGAAAGTGGTTTGTTGCAGCATTATGAAAGAAATATTACTTTCTCAAAAGATAAATTAATTTATGGGAAGAAATATTTCCCGATTGCGGTGGAGAATATTTTGGTGGCGTTTACTATTTATTTTGGAGGAATTAGTATAGCTATTGTTGTTTTCCTGGTTGAAAGAATGGTAAACAAACGTATTAAATAAATATGTGTTTATTGCTGGAAATATATTATGTTTTTGTGAGTTGTGACTCTTTATTGCATTAAATATTATGTGTTAATTGTAGTGGAAAACAATATTTTTGAATGCAATATTAAAGAAATTCTGAGAAAGCTTTGAAATTATACGTATATTATTTGTAGGAGTAGCTCTTAGAAAATCCATAAAAATGCCCTTTTTATTTTTCTTGATTGGCAAATTTGTGGTTTTTGGTATTTTCTGGGCAAACGCGATTTCGTAGAGCAATAAATCTTTTACTAAATTAAAAGTATAGAAATTCTTCATACTATACATGCATAATTTGTGGGATTAACACTTGGGAAACTCATAAAAATACCCTTTTTGTTCTTCAAAATTGATAAATTTTTGTGGTTTTTGGTATTTTCTGGGCGAACGGGATGTCGTAGAGCAACCATTTTCTCACCAAATTAAAGATACTAAAATTCTGCATAACGTACGTATATAATTTGTGGGATTAACACTTGGGAAACTCATAAAAATACCCTTTTTGTTCTTCAAAATTGATAAATTTTTGTGGTTTTTGGTATTTTCTGGGCGAACGGGATGTCGTAGAGCAACCATTATCTCACCAAATTAAATGTACCAAAATTCTGCATAATATACGTATATAATTTGTGGGATTAACCCTCGGGAAACCCATATAAATGCCCCTTTTGTGTTTCCTGGTCCGCAAACTTTTGTAATTTTTGACCCGAAATTGAACGCGAACAATTCAAATTATGTCGAAATATCCGCGAAAATTTTCAGCCTCCTCAAATTTCTGTGATCCGAATAACACCAACCAATTTTTCCATTAGTTTTCGACCCGAAATTAAACGCGAGTACACACCCACACACACTACATATGTGAACGAGCGCATGTGTGGGTATGTGCCTGTTCAATTTTGGGTCGAAAACTAATGGTAAAATTGGTTGGTGTTATCCGGATCCCAGAAAGTTGAGGAGGCTGAAAATTTTTGCGGGTATTTCGACAAAATTTGAATTGTTCGCGTTCAATTTCGGGCCGACAATATTGAAAATTAGCGGAAAGAAACAAAAAGAGCATTTCTGTGGGTTTTCCGATGTCGTAGAGCAACCATTCTATCACCAAACTAAAGGTATTAACATTCTGCATAATATACGTATATAATTTGTTGGATTAACCCTCGGGAAACCCAAGTAAATGCCCTTTTTGTTTTTAAAATTGGATAATTTTTGTGGTTTTTGGCATTTTCTGGGCGAACGGGATGTCGTAGAGCAACAATTCTATCGCCAAATTAAAGGTATTAAAATTCTGCATAATATACGTATATAATTTGTAGGATTAACCCTCGAAAACCCACAAAAATGCCCTTTTTGTGGTTTTAGGCATTTTCAGGGCGAATGGGGCGACGTAGAGCAACCATTCTATCACCAAATTAAAGGTATTAGAATTCTGCATAATATACGTATATAATTTGTGGGATTAACCCTCAGGAAACCCAAGTAAATGCCCTTTTTGTTTTTGAAATTGGATAATTTTTGTGGTTTTTGGCATTTTCAGGGCGAATGGGGCGACGTAGAGCAACCATTCTATCATCAAATTAAAGGTATTAAAATTCTGCATAATATACGTTTATAATTTGAGGGATTAACCCTCGGGAAACCCAAGTAAGTGCCCTTTTTGTTTTTAAAATTGGATAATTTTTGTGGTTTATGGCATTTTCTGGGAGAACGGGATGTCGTAGAGCAATCATTCTATCGCCAAATTAAAGGTATTAAAATTCTGCATAATATACGTATATAATTTGTCGGATTAACCCTCGAAAAACCCACAAAAATGCCCTTTTTGTGTTTCCAAGTCCGCTAACTTTTGTAATTTTCGACCCGAAATTGAATGCGAACAATTCAAATTTTGTGGAAATACCCGCGAAAATATTCAGCCTCCTCAATGTTCTGCGACCCGAATATTACATACCGATTTTACTATTGGTTTTCGAGCTGAAATTAGACACGTACACCCACAGACTGCACTCATGCAGAGAGTGGTTCTGGTGTGTGATAGATAATTTAATAATACATCGATTATTGTAGTACCTTTTTTTGTTTATATGAACCGTTTAGGCCCTATTTAAAAATTTTAATGAGAACTAATTATTGAAAAGTAACCACATCATTGTGTAGAGGGGCTCTTAATTACCTAATTTAAACAACAATTCTCCTAATAACACTAAAGGTCTTTCCTATAAATGTCATTAAGTAAAATGTGTACTCAAATAGAGACTTAAATATCAATTATCTCGAGAACTAAAAGAGATAAACAAAAAGCGAAAACGTTTTTATGCTCAGTATAATATCTTAGATAAGATAACATCTAAAAAATTTCAAATATAACATATGCCTGTAACATTTTCCGACACGATTTTCTCGGAAAGTAATAAAGTCAGTAAAAAACTTTCTTCATTTTTTTCATGCCGTGATATGGATCTATAAAATGGCAGATTTAGTTTTTCCATTTTCTAAAGTTTAGAAAAACTCCTCAAAAAGAGTCAAGAGGTTACACTTGACTCTTTTTGGACCTCAAAAATTTTTTTAATGCTAGAAGAAAATGGAAAACGCCAATCGATAGAGTTTTCCAATGGGATGAAAGATATCCAGTCAGTTTTCTGATGGCATCAATATTTCGGAAAATGAGTGGTAATTTCAAAACTAATCAAATAAAACCACTCCTCCAATTTTTCCCAAACTTTCCATACTGATGTAAAACAATGCCAGGAATCCATTAATCCAGGTTCGGTTGCGTTATCTTAATTAGTTTTTAAGTTATTGGCCAATTTTAATTATTACATAAGTGTCGATAAGAGAAAGTTTAAACCTCTTATATCATGTAAAATTTAATTCTGCATACGAATATGAAAACCGTTTTTCTTTATCTCTAATGGTTTTCAATATAACTGCATAAAACTGGTTTATATATTTTCTCCATCATTTCCTAAGTTAAAAATAAAAATTGGAAATTTGACTTTTTTATTACCGAATATTAAAGAATATGTGATTCTACATACTTTATCTTAATAAAATTTTGTTCTAAGACGAACCGTTTTGATAATAATCACCCTAACTAAGTAAGGTTTTGTCACTATTCGAATTATATTAAAATAGTCAATAGGGCCTAAATGATTACTGTTGGAACAATATTACTCTTAAATATTTAAATCTAAATTTAAGAAGCTATCCGAATCCGAAATCAGAATTTAAAAATTCCAACTTTTAATTTTGCACATAAAAAAGAGAAATCTTTTGCCTTTTTTATAACAAAATCTTTTCTTTAAAAATTTTTTGTCCCATTTTGGTCGTTTTTCAATAAGGATGCCATCTTGTAGAGAATTTTTCAAGAATCAAGAATATGAAGTTCTTTTTTTTCTAGCCCTTTTAGTTCTCGAGATAATTACCATTTAAATCGCACTTTCGACCTGAAAAAATTTTAAGAAAAAAGTTCGACCCTGTTGTTCGACAGGTAATAATTTCGTTAAAAAAAGTTCGACCCTGTCTTTCGTGCAAAAATATTTTAATGAAAAAGTTCGAGGCTGTTCTTCGACTGAAAATTAACTGTATTAAAAGGAAGTTTGGTTGTTTTTCGACATAAAAATGAAATTTATTATAAATTTATTATATAATAAAATAAAAATGATCAGTTTTGAGGAGTATTTAGGGCACATGTTTGGAGATGACATGAACGCAAATTCAAAAAGGTACATATAAAAATAAAAAATCATTGTATTCAATATTTACGATTCACTGTTTATTAGTTATTAAAAAAACACTTAGTACATAAGTTTAAATTATCCTTTAAAAAGTAGTATGCGACTCCTAGCTTATTTACATTCGACTAGAAACTGATTTGCTCTCAAAATACAAAGTCACAATTAGAATATGCTACCTCCGCTCTCCTCCTTCGTCCTTCCACCGCCGCCCCCCACACACTCGCTTCGTGGTATGTACAAAAGTATTCGCAATCAAATATATTACACTCCACTTAAGTAGCAAAATATACACACATTAAGAATTATTGTTATAAATCCTCGCGCGGAGAGAGCAAAAGTTGAAATTTACACAGATCTACGACTTGCAATCGCCTAAACGGGTAATCATTACAATGTTATACGTACTAGCAAAAAATAAAACAAAACCATTCGCCACGACAATTGCTAACCTCGACAAAAGACTGAGGTTCAAATTTCTTGTATGTTAAGTTCGAGTTAAATATTTGGTAACACTGAATTTCATTTCATTTTTTTTGGTTAAGATATTTTCCTCATCAAACGCTCCGTCGAAACAACATCTTTAAGTAAGTATAGTATTTGGTAAATATTATCATTTATATATCATAATATATGTTCTATATGCGTTAATTTCCTTTCATTTTCTCTTTCATTTATAATATCTTGTTAAATGTATTGATTTGAACACTTACTATGCTTGACGGTTTGGCAGTTTTAACGAATGAAATAAATAAATTTAAAACAAACAAAAAACACGTGTTTGCCCATGCGCGGTAGCTCAAACCTCGGTGGATTTGGCCACTGCCGCGGCAGTAGTGGTGGGCGGCGCGTTGCCTAGCGACGCTTGCTTCTTGTTGAACAGCCCGCCGAGGAAGGAATGCTGGTAGTAGACCGACTTCGGTGGGACTTTACCCGCACCACCGCCGGCAGCCAGTTTGTCTGATCGCGAGCAGGTGCTCGCTGATGTCGATTGAAAGGACACTGACATGCCGCTGTCCAGCGAGCCTACACTTCCGCGACGTTGCGCCTTCTCGCCTGTAACTGCACTAACGTCATTATAATGAATAAACGTAAATAAAAATAAGAAATAAAAACAAGTAAAGTGCAACATATTTGACTTTACTTGAAAAAATAAGTTTTGTATACTCACACTGCTCGTGGATGTCAAGGAGGGAATTGCTAAGCGCCGAGCGTTTAATTTGCGGATCGTGGACGACATCTTCGGTGGGGTTCTCACTCGGGCCGGTGCCAGGCGTTTGTGCGCAAGGACACTGACATGGACACACTTCAACATCAGCTACACCACTATCACGATTTTCTGCTCCTAATAAACAATAAAATTCAGTTATTTCAATGTTTTACGACAAGTTTCCGAGTATAAACTCACCAGATCTATTCCCACGACTAGACTTTTGCCTCTCCAACTCGGCTTCGATGCGTAAATTCTCCATCTCGTCCATTTCGCTAATCGACTCTTTAAGATCCTCGGCAAACTTGCATCGATCGTGCTCGTTGCGAGCGTTGAACGTCACCAGAGCCTTCCCATCCACTCGTTGCGACAGACGAATACCAAACGGATAATCTACAACATCACAATAAATTAAAATGCGCTCCACGTACAAACATAACCTCAATTCTCGACTATACTTACGTTGCTTCTCAAACAACGTCACAACCATGCCAGCCAACGGATAGCTATTCCTAAACGTGTACGTCACCGACGACTTCTTCTTGCTGAGTATCTTCGTGATGACGAGCAGGTCGTTGAAGAGAAACACCTCGCGTTGATGTACACCCGGTCGTTCCTTCTTGTTCGTATCGGGGATCTCATACAGCCGGCAGTAACACACTAGCCGTCTATGTGGCAGCGCCATATTGGGCTTCTTGCCCACAATTGTCGCCTGCACCTTCATCACTTGCGTCACGTGATCCGAGCCCGGCTTGAATTCATTCGCCTTGACACGTTCGTAGACTCCGTTCAACATATCGCTGTCAATATCACCGCAATCATCAATTCCGCGCAGGTTCTTGATGAAGTCTTCGACGCGCATACGTCGCTCTGGCTTTATGCTCGGCGTGTGTAAATCGGTGTTGAGCATGATAATAGCAAACGCCAACACGAATATCTAAAAAAAACAAAATATAATCAGATAAGGTTATGTTTTAAGGTTATTAATGGCAACATACCGTATCGGGTGATCGTAACCTTGCGACAATGTCAACATTACACTGGCAGAAGCGCTGTGAAAAGACCTCCATGAGTCGTTCGATCTTTTGCGCTTCGCCAGGCATTCGAAAGTGTTGCTGGAACTTCCTCAACGCAACATCCACCTGCATTCCAGCAAGGTCCAACTCCATGGCGAAATTTTCCAACACCGCCATGCAGAATGGACTCTGTAGGTTGCCGAGATACTCGCCAATCATCTGTTTACTCAATCCCTTGCGTGTGATGAGAAACCTCGCAACTCCCGAAGGTGTATTCTCCAGGAAGCCTCTGCGGATGAGGTAGGCGATGCCTCGATCGGGCTTCTTGTTGAAGAGGTTCAACCCGACGCGGTACTGCCGCTTGCGCACGGTTTCCGATATTTTGTACGCCGCCGCTGGCGGCTGGGGTTGCTCCTGCCTGTCGAGGACATACGTGGAAGTACTAGAACTCGAGATATTGCCTAAACTAGTCTCCAGCGCCTGCTGCTCGTACTCCTGATGATGGCCGCCGCCTTTGCGCTTCCAAATCGGCGAGCCGGGATAATCCCCGCATTGAATGCGCTCGGTGGAGATGCTACTATCGCTGCCCGACGACTGCACGCTGGAGAGTGATCCGTTCTCGGTGCTCTTGGACAAACCATTGGATCGGAGGTGGCGTGGGTCAGAGTTGCGGGTGTTGATGCTGGAGGTGCGCTTGGGGACTTCAGGGGGGACCTTGCGACTGTTGCTGCCGACACTGCTGTTGAGCGAGGAGCGCGAAGAGCGATGGTAGCCGTTGTTGTGCGCGCCGCCACCGTGGCCGCCGCTGCCGCCGATAGGGGTGCTGCAAGAACTCGAAGTGGCGAGTGTGGAAAGAGCGTGCGGGTCGTGTTTGTTTGTCAGCGACTGGTCGCCGCCGCCGGCGTTCGTGGTGGTGTAGTAGTGTGGCATTTGCATGTGAGGGGCGTAGTTCTCCCAGCACGCGGTAGGCGTGCCGGACTGGCTACGGGGGATGGAAATACTGTCTACGTTACGGCGTTCGCGCAACGACATGGAGCGCATCGGGAGCGCGCGGATTGTACCACATTCATGACCACTAAAATCGGGGAAAAAACAGAAGACAAACTTGTACCAACCAAAAAACATCGAACAACAAATCATACTAACAGTTGGACAAATGATAACCTAACAGTTCATTCCAACATCTACAACGTTCTAAACTTTAAAATTAAAGTTTTTGAACAGAAAAACCTCAAAAACTCAAATTTTAAAGTTAAAAATAAAATGGTAACCAAAACTCACTTGTCATAGTTCCGAATATAATCCGGTTCACACTGTTCAGGTTCCCCGATATTACTACGTGCGTCGTCGCCATTGTTGGGAATCCGCCGACTGATGCGCTTCTCCGCCTTGGCCATCGCCGTAATGGCCGCGAATTTCTTCAGCAGGGTGTAGCGCCGAAACGCACGCTGAATCGTAAGCGCAGCATTGCGCGCCTTGACGCCTCCATACTTTCTCTCGAGCACCTCGATCTGCTTATCGAGAATGTCCTGCGACAGCTCATACCTATTCGATGATAACAATAGAATTCGCATTTTAGATAACATATCTCAATGATGAGTCAATTACTACGCTCTATTGTATTATTTAATATTATCTATATATTAATATATTAATATCTCACGTTGTTTGCACGCGTGAACGCTTGAGAATATCTCCATTACGCAGCGAGCCCTTCTTGTGCATGGGCTGCGCTACGGAGACATAACCGCCTCCGCCGGATCCATTGGGGGAGGTGCGTGGATACATAGGGTTGGGCGTAGGGGTGGCGTAATTCTGCGTCTGGAGGTAGTTGGGCGCCTGGATGTAGGTCTGCTCCTGCATGTGGTGCATTGTGCCGCCCATCGCCGGCGAGATTTGGGGGCGGTCCATTTTCGGAGGGAAACTGCAACAATTGAAGAAAAAAAAGACACTTTTAGTATTGACACCCACGTAGTTGTTTGTTTTATTTGTTTTATAATAACAATTGTTTTCTTTTAATTCACAAAAGAAATCAGAAAACAATTGAATGTCGTCGGAAGATTATTAATGAACATCCGATTTTTGTATGCGCGCGCGGTGACAGCAACCGGTGAGTAAAAAAATTTAGGGTCGTTAACAATAGCACCAAAACCAATCTGTTGACCTCTATTTAACCTTCGCGAATGTTCAGTATTCACAGAAAATAAAAACTCAAACTTTTCCATCTACTGTCGTCATAATTTACTCTTTTGTTTGTTTGTTTGTTTACGTCGGTTGGCAATTGTTTCGTCTTGTTTGTTAGCTAGTCAATTGTTTCGTACCTAGTTCCTCCGCCGCCAACTAAGAAGCCCGAAATGCAAATGAGCATTGTGACGTGTGTGGATTACACAACAGAAAATAATCCCAAGTTGGCACTGTTACACACTCCCAACACTACAACTTGAAAATATGTTCAAAACATCTCGCGGATCGTAAACCGTGAACGCGACCATCCGAAACGAAAGCAGCTGGCAAACTAAAAGTCTTGAGGAGTCCCTTAATCACAGGTAGTAGCCGGCCGAGAGAACCCAAGAAGTGGCGAGCGACAAAGACCCCACTACCTTCCTACTGGCGCGTAATGAAAGAAAAAACGAGGAACACCCGAGTGAGAAATAAATATCCAAACGGCAGCTGCTCCTCGAGCGAGGTTTTCGTTTGGATGAACACATGAACATGCACCACACGAGGGATATAAGAACATATGCCCTGGGCACTCGGGGTATAATATAAATAAAAATACGAAATTTTGGGATATAAATATACCTGGATGCATTGACATTGAGATTGATAAAAATAGCATAAAAGTAGGAAAACTTTCGATTAAAGTTCAAAAACTACCTGCAAGTGAAAAAGAAATAAAATGGCTGCAAAGGCTGCAAGTGCAAAGTGCACACAGAAAGAGAAACTGCTATTAAAGTCTCATGACGGGTTTATGCCACTTATGAATTAAACAACTTAGCAACTTAAGGGTTGTTTCCAAGGGATTACAAGTGGATACCGGAAGGTGACACCATTAGCAGAATAAGGGTGTCATACTGTCATCTTGGGTAGTGCATAAAGCACAGTAGCTATGATTTATCGCCCCCAATTACCATGAAGGGTTTTTGTGAAAGGATAAGAAAGTCTATTATATTTCCTACTTACTTCCGTAAATGCAATTAAATTTATTTTTTCTTTAAAAAAAACAAAAAATAAAAAATAATTAACAGAGATTTAAGATTGTATTGGTGGCAGGTGCCACGTGTATCTTAATGAGAGAGCATTCAATCTGGTCCACCAATGAAGGTTGTCGAGTAGTGATTCGAGAAAAACCAAAACATCTGCCTCCTCCAGAATGCCAGAAAGTGCCAAGAACGTGCATGTGTGCCCACACAGCACACGCGCGATGAAAAAGAAGCTTACATTTGTAAGCAAAACGACGAAAAGAGGCCAACGCAATTTGCAACAACATCAACCAATGCTGCAACTGACGACGATGCAAAGATGATGATAATTTCATGATTGCAGCTTGCAGATTGACACAAATTATAAAATTTATCAAATAGCATTATAAGACATAATAAATATAGCACACAATGTTTTTGCACTCATCTTGTCCTACTAGTAGGTCAGAATGTAACGATGTAACAATGTTATAACGCAATAATTCATTCCGACACCTTGAATAACACCGCAAAGCAACTTGACAACTCTACAGGTAAAATCAATTCTCTTGTACATGAATAACACACACTTCATACTCCAGCACAGCGTTGATTTATATTTAATTAGGAATTACGTGTGTTGTGTATTTAATTGCGATAATTAAGCGTGCAGACGAAAATTCAATAATTCAAGGCGTCAGCCTTGTTTACGAATACCTTCAGTTTAAGAATTTATTCAACCACAAAATAGCAGCACTCCATTGACCATTAAAAACACATGATGCCAAAGTGGATCTTTGATGTTACATTCTGGAAGTAATAGTATATTGCGAGATGGCTTCTTCATTTTATATATTTGATGGCTTTTTGAAGCACCAGGCACACGCGTTTCGGGGATGAGTACGCACGTGCATCCAAGCCGACCGAAAAACCAGATGGCAGGTGGCTGGAGGCACGTTTCGGACGTGGACCACGCCGCGAAGGGCCCCGGCAGATGTTCTCCGCCAACGCCATCAAGAAATTCCAAACAAAAACCCAACAACAAGTCTTAAATATTTAAAAACTTGCGTTTTATCATCAAATATTTAAATATTATCACGTGTCGACACGTGGAAGATATAAAAATTCAAAAGTTTTACTTCAATAACTTCGCTAAAACTCTCAAAAAATAAAAACACCCTAAAACAGCCCCTAAATGCGTGGCTAATTCCTAAATCTGAATACCTTCAAAAATTAAGTTTAACCTCCATTGAATAGCATTGAATTTGTAAAAGGTATAGACTTGTGAGGTTGCCAAGAAGACCAAAAAGACTTTGTGATACTTTGTGATCATTGTGAGCGTGAAGACTTTCAAATGTTGACAATGTCAAGGTAGCAGAGATTAACAATGCCTGACATAAATATTTCTAACAAGCGTAAGTCTAACAAAACGACCCGAACTAAAAATGATGACGTTTTTATGCTCCCTAGGACCCGGCGTATTCATGAAGGAATTGATGTACCTACGTAGTGGATGAGAGAGGAAAGCCTCTCAATGGGAGCAATTTATAACGGATCAATCATGCTTCAAGCTTCGGATCCGAAATAATCCAAAACATTCCGGGGCTTAGCTGATCGGAGGGTAATTTTACAAGAAGGAAAAAAAATTACATGAGTAGATAATAAAATTGGTATTTTGGGTAAAAGCTAGTAAAATGTTTGCGTGTTTTTAGTTATACTAGATTTTGTGAAAGATTACGTTGTTGTAGTTTTCAGTAAAAATGTAATTAAGTTTTTATTTTTTTCCTTTTTTTAAGAAATAAGAAATGCCAATAATGCCCCTTAGCGCCATCTGGTTTTAAATTAGTTAACTATAATAATGATTCAATCTCTATTGAAACTTTCTCCCTTATTTAACACCCTGTATATAATAATTTTTGATATTTTAATAGTTATTCTTCTATTCTAAACCAATGCGAATCCAACAAATCATAGATCATCAAAATCGGTACAGCCATTCATGAGTTATAAGTGTTCTAACTAACAAGTCTTTGTTTTATATAAGAATTATATATAGATTTTCCAAAAATTAGATATTTTTCATCATATTTCAATACAATATTGAATTCAAGACAAAAAATACTAAAAAATTAAATTCAATAATGGAAATAACTTTAATAATCTAAAATTTTATACAAAAAACAAAGAAAAATACAAAAATTACATAAATGAATCTCATGATTTATAATTTTTCTAAACTTCGCGATAAATATGCAAATGTGAGCTGAAAGTGTCACGAATGTCACGTGTCCCCAACACAAAATAACACACAAGAGTAATTATAACGAATTACTCTCTTTAAATGCACACATACCGAGTGTTTCGACACACACGCTCGAAACCATTTGCGACTAGTTTCCCAATGTCCGTAAAAGTGCAAATGAACGTAAACGAACGTAATTGAGCGCGTCGGCCATTAGCGCTTTTCCCACTAGCGCGTGCAATTTGCGAGTGCCACTCTCGCATGCGATCGAAAAACGCCCGATTCTCACCGCACACGCACAGCGAATGCAATTCCGCTAAACAAATACACTACTACTACTACCTAGCAACACAGCAGCATTGAGAATGGAGAGTACAGCGAGACAATAACAGTTAGATGGCTGACAGGCGGCGGCAGTGCCTGCGCCTTCTTTTTTTTTCGAGTTACCTAACCTGTGGTACTTGTTACGTGCTCCAGTTTCGAGCGCCGGCGAGTGAATTATACGATTACGCGAGTCACCTGTTAAATGCACTTTGTATTCGCATTATTTTTTTCTGCACACACAGAGTAAAACAAGTTTTGTTTCAAATCGTGAAACTAGCTTTTGAACGCGTAGTTTTTGAACAAAATGTAATTAATTTTTATTTTCTTGTTCAAAGACCCTGTATGAGTCAATTCCATCAATAAAATAAGCAATTTTATTTTATAGAAATGAAGCTTCACTTTAACGCCATCTGGATTCAAATTATACAACTAAAACTATGAATTAATCTCCATATCAACTTTCATCCCTTATTTTACACCCTGAAAGCCATAATTTTTAATATTTTATTATATATTCTCCTATTCTAAGTACAGACGAATCTAAAAAATCATACTTCATCAAAATCTGTCCACGCGTTCTTGAGTTATAAACGTTTTAACTAACAAAACTTCATTTTACATACCTATAGGTATAAAATATGCAATTTGAATAAACCCTCAGAGAAAATTTAATTTTTATTTTACTTTAAAAGTAAATTTGCGTGACTGATAGCATTAGTACTCCGCGCATGCGCATTTCTTAAATAGGCGGAGCTAAAATGAACAAATTGCCCACTTTCTATTATTAAATGACAGAGAACAAAATAAATTATTATCTACAATGAGAAAGCATGACATATTTTCCATACTATTGAGCATTAATTTTAAATTTTATTGTATTCATAATTACACATTATTAAAATGACCAATCATCAAATAATACTTATCGGGCGTAACGGAATCAATTCGACAACACTCCACACTCAACAACAACACGCAAACAAATCCTATTGTAATTCACTTGTTTCGACCACCAGTAAATACAACAATCGGGTGTAATGAATAGGCCATTAAATAATTACACGTTTCCTTCATTTGTGATGCGAGCACAAGTCAAGCAACAATTTGTAACAATCGTCATTGTTCCCCAACACAAGTTAATAAATAAATTTTATTTCTGTGACCTTTGTAGGTAGA